GAATTAATGTAACTATTTCTAAGAGTGGTATAAAGGGTAATTTTTCATTTTTTATCATTTTCTGTATTCTCACATTTTTTATGGTGCTCAAAATAATTTAATGCAGAGAAATTCCACTACAGGAAGACTCTCAGCCTCCATGTTCTCCAATAAAACCAGTATCAATGGCTTGAGTTGGAGATAAAACACCCAAGCCCTCTTCTCTGGGAGCCCAGTGCATGGGGGAGAGGAACAGGGGCCCAGGGCCATAAGAGGGGAGGACAGTTGAGGGGCCAGAACAGCCAGGAAGGCAAAGAGGTGGGGACAGCAGGCTTAAGGTGAGGATTAGCATGGGCAGAGGCTCAGATATGAGAGAAAATAACTCTCCAAGGAATAATGAGGGGCTTGCTCTGATCTTGGTGAGCCAATGGATGTACCAGGCTAGAGCAAGAGATGAGGCCAAGAAGGAACAAGATCTCAAAGGGCTTTGTGAACAACTAGGGAACTGGAATTTTACCCCAGTCATTAGAGGATGGCCAGACTTTACCAAAGTGACCAGGCTTCCCTTCTCCTAGGTGAGGGGGAAATCTTCAAAGGCCCCTATTGGCCTGTCTGCTACCTGATGAAAGAAAATCACAGCAAAAGCATCTCTCCAACAACTTGGTATATTTCAAGAACTAAATCAAGATACTGAAGAGATTGCTGCTCTATCCTAACTTCTAGTCCTTTCCTCTCACCACTTGTTCTTATTAGAAAAGTGATTGCATTTTTAGACCAAAGAGGTCATGCTAAATGGATCAGGTGGTTCCCTTTTAACTGAAATTTGAAAACCTTGTATATACTTATCTCTACAAAAGTTACAGGCAAGGGAAGAGAGGATATCCTGGCAATTGTGGGATAATTGTACCAGGAAGAGACCAGTTAAGTGAACTCACTTTAAATAACACCAAATTTCATATTAAATAGCAGGGGAAAGATTTAATGAAAACATGATCTTAAAATATAAACTATGAAACTAAGACCTATTTTATCTTACATTTAACAAATTTTAAGTTATAATTGCAACTCTGCTCTAATAACTAGAATAAAGCAGGAATGGATTCTGCTGACATTTCGGGGCACACTTTTTCTGACCCATCATGTAACATGAGCCAATATCCTTGAATTAATTTTTGACTTTTGCAGCAAAAAGAGGTTCATTTTTGCAAATATATTAGAGTCACCAATTTGTCCTAAAGGCCTCTCCTAACCTTTGTTGGTCCAAATGTGCTTTTTTGAAGTCCCACTTTGTCATCCTCCTTTGTTAATACCCTCTTCTTCAATTGTCAGTGGTCTCATTCTGCCAGTGCCTCATTTGTTGGATTCCAACAGTTCAGCACCATCACTGTTAGTCTATTCAGGAAATTCTATATCTTTAGCCAGATTTGCAAGTTCATTTCACAAGGAGATTATGTTATATTTGCACTGTGTTATAGGATCTACACATTGTCTGGCAATCAGAAAGAAATGGACCAACAAAGAGGGAGCTCAGAGGAACAGATACACAGAAGAGATATCTGAGTAGAGGTCAATTTTATAAGCAGTTAATTAGAGGATAGGTCAATTTTGTGACAAGTTTTACTTCCCTATACAACCTCGTAACAACCTAGTCTTGGATACCAAGCACCCTGTGTACTTCCCTGGACAGGCAGATGAAAGGGAAGGGGGGTAGATTTATTTTCTAACAGTAGACTCTCCTACAGACAAATGACGTTATGGCAAAAAGGAAAGTTGGAAGATCAAAATTTGCTTCCATACTCTGCCACACATCAAGATTCATGACCATGTGTAACCAGGAGTAACCTCAGCTTCAGACATGACACTTTCACTTGCCCTTTGAGATTGACCATGAGGTGTTTGCAGCTTACAGCGTTACCTTATCTGACCCTGGATTAACAAGTCCTGTCTCATTTCAGATGCCATCTGGCGATTTCATTTCTGAGAACAAGGGAGTAATCACAGGTCAGTCTTAGGAAAAGCACTCAGAAAGGAGGTATCCAGAAGTGTGGCATAGGGGAAGATTGCAGTTGGGGAGAATGAAATAGATCAAGAACAAGAACAGCATCACTTGGGCATAAACTGACTGAGGACTTGGAAGGGCTCACACTCTACACATGAGACAAAATTCCCAATCAGCCATATCCTCAGGGTAAACCTGAATGGCATAGCATCCTGAATATGCCCAGTCTTGTCAACAGCCTGAACTGGACCAAAGACCAAAGTCCACAGTCCTTCAACCTCCCCCAGTGTTTAGTTGTCATAATATAAATAGTTTATATCTACCATAGTTTCCCTTGTATTGGGATAGGGGTAACTGTTTTGCTGACCAGAGAGAGTAGATGCTGAGTTCCTAGAAGAAAGGAATCATGTGTCCTATTCATCTTTGTATTTTCACCCTCTCTTCCTTCCCCACTGTTTATTCCTTCTCTTCCCTGCACACTGTAGATATTCAAAAATTTATTTATTGAATTGAATCCAAGCTTTCTGGCCAACATTAAATCTGATGTTTGCAAAGAAAAGGATAGGAAGCTATACCAGAAAAGGCCCCGAGATGTAATTCTTCTATAAGTCTAAATTTAGAGGGAAAAGGAGAAAAGGTAATTCTGGCTATCTTAGCAAGGTCATATGGGGTGAGAAACAATGGAAGACCTTTACACTTAAGCCATCTTTGACCCAACCCTGCTTTTAGAATAGAACTGAACGTAACAATCTGTCAGTAGCCAAAGGATGACATAAAAGGATGCCCTTGATGTTCAACATTCCTAAATTCCTTCTCGTACTATGAAAGCAAAGAGATCTATAATCATCTCTTCCTAGTTTGAAGATTTCCAGGGACTACTCATGTTGCAAGCCAGTAATTCCATCCAATCTAAGACACTTCATTAATCACTAAGAATTTGAAAAGGTCCTGACAAGAGATCTCTTAACTTCAGAATTGTTAAGATCTTTTCAACTGTTGGATGCCAACCAGTTGCCCGACTAGTTTCCCTAACAATTTCTGCATCTAGTGCCCTCAGACTGGGGATACAGTGATATCTCTCACATCTTTAATATAGGAAATATTCTGCCTTCCTCAGAGTACTGACCTGATAAAGGGTCTATTGGACATCCCTTGAAGAGTCCATGATAGTCATCCTCAAAACAAATTAAAGAACGTCATTTCCTAATACCATTTCAGGCACAATTATTCTGCTACTAACCATTGTTCTACTCTGTTCAAGCTCAAGAAGAAAACAGTCCAGGACAACTTCATGTCCTTTGTAGTAGTGTTCATTAATCTTTCAACAATCTTTGAGTATATTGTCAAGAACTGAGCAGGCACCCAATTCTATAACCATGATAAAGATTTTAGGCTTTTTGTATTATCTAAGCCAGTCTAATAATCTTCTGCCTAAATCAAGTACAAAGGTGTAACAGATGCAGTCCCAATCCTGGACTGCTTTAAACTAAACCAATGTATTTGGCAGCCATTGTCCAGTACTTAAATACACAATGCTAAATAACTCCCTTCAAAAGACCAAATCATAAGACTACCACTTAGGCGTATTTAGTAGCTGATTCATCATGGAGGACCCACCAAGATACTGTTCTACTTAAAGTCAGCTATTGCACTGGGCCGAGTCACTTGGTCAAGGCATTAAATTATTAATATTTCTCCCATTTTCCAGAATAGGAGTAATTTTTTCCATCTCACTGGGGAAGAATTCAGATATCTCAGTCTCAAGTTCCAAAGCAATGAGGAAGATTCAAGGTTCTTTTTTTTTTTTTAAGATTTTATTTATTTATTTTGACAGAGAGAGAGACAGCGAGAGCAGGAACACAAGCAGGGGGAGTAGGAGAGGGAGAAGCAGGCTTCCCGCTGAGCAGGGAGCCCGATGTGGGGCTCTATCCCAGGACCCTGGGATCATGACCTGAGCCGAAGGCAGATGCTTAACGGCTGAGCCACCCAGGTGCCCCAAGATTCAAGGTTCTTTACAGGCAACTTTTCAGCTGACGCTTGGGGGAGAGAGCCTGGGCCTCCAGGGAAGAGTAGAAGGCAAGGTGCCACCATGACATAATGCTAGGAGCCACCTTCATATCTAGCAGCAGTATAACCAGCTCTCACTTCAAGCAGCCCAAATGGATAGAAAATTCAGTCCTGACTGCAATCTAACACTAGTCAATGGCTCACTGAAAATCCCTGATGTTTGTGAGACAGAATCTAGAGGTCTTGCTGATCCTTCTCTACAGTCCCAACACTGCACCTGTGTTAAGACAAGGAAGAGCAGGGCGCCTGAGTGGCTCAGTCGGTTAAGCGACTGCCTTCGGCTCAGGTCATGATCCTGGAGTCCCGGGATCGAGTCCCGCATCGGGCTCCCTGCTCGGCGAGGAGCCTGCTTCTCCCTCTGACCCTCCCCCCTCTCATGTACTCTCTCTCATTCTCGCTCTCTCAAATAAATAAATAAAATCTTTAAAAAAAAAAAAAAAGACAAGGAAGAGCAATGGAGAGAACATTTGACTCGGTCCTGAGAAGAAACATCGTCATTGGACCATGACTGGAGGTTACACATTCATCCTTTCCCCAGGGTCAAGGCTGGGATAGCCCATTTAATCAGTCCTCGTATCAACCACAAAAATGTACCAGGAGGATGTCGGCCATGGGGTTACCCAATGTCTGTTTCATAAGGATCCTGGCAATAAACTCCTCCTGAGTATCCAAATTCAAAGTAAGAATAATAAGAAAAACAGTATAACGTGGGTTATACCATTTTACCTTATCTGTCATAAAATTTGGCTAAATGCAGTACTTAACCAGAGTAATTTTAATGAGATCGCCTGCAATGCCTATTCATTTGCCTCCTTCTAAATGATATTTGCTCTATTTTATCTTTTAAGTATGATGTGTTCAATCTCATAAACTCTTCAAACCATATGCTAGAAATAAGATATATAAGATATGCCATTCTTGGGTAAATTGTTGGTCTTTTCTGGGAGAATCTTACCTGCAGATGAGTCTATTTTTCACCAAGGCTGTAAAGATCTCCTGAAATAGTTTATGCTGGGGATGTTTGCTGAAGTTTCTCTCATTCTTGTAGTTTATACTGATATGGAACAAACAGAAAAGCATTTTGTAATAGAAATTTTTTAGGCTGCCTCAAATTTCTCAATGCAGGCACAGACCATCTGTATTCATGCAGATACTGGGAGGATTCTCAGGACTTAACATACTGCTAAACGCACATATCAACTGTTAAAAAAGGAACTAGAAAGTCAATTATAAATAATAATAAAGATTATAATCACGCATATATACTTCATTTCACTATTTAACTAAATTATTCCTCATAAACACTTCATAGCTAAACTTGTTCAGAGGGAGGAAAAGGGGATACGAAGAGAAAGAATGATGAGGACATATTATCTAGACACTGCATGAGGCAGTAAACAATTCTTCCCTTCGTTTTTCCACCCACAACCCCATTGGCTCCTATAGCTAGTAACACCAGTGCTCACCATATATATTTCCTTGTAGGTAACACGGATTTATCAAACACAGCCTAAACCCCTTCAACCGTGAAAGTTTCTGCGGTTGCTGATTGTTTGCTGTGTATGTGTGTGTGTCTGTGTGTGTTTAACAAAGTCTGGAGGTATCCCATCTTCAGCTTCTTTCTTCTGATATTATAGCCAATTAAAGAGGTTATAAAAATACCACAAACATTCCACTTTAAAACTGGGAGAGGATAAGAGATAATGCACAAAATGGTGACATCGCTATAAAATATATGATATACTATTTTTGTGCATATTAAAATAGACCGAGTTTAAGATCCAGGCCAAATAAGCTGGAATTACAAGAACATATCACCTCAAAGGCAAGTTCTATGGCCTTATATCATCATTTGTACTGTTCTGCCTTTTCAGTCTTTCAGATGTCATTGGACAGTGTGCCTCTACCCTAGCCAGGTGAGGTCTGTAGTGCATTCTTAGTACGTGGATACTAGAGACTGAATTTGTAAGAATTTTCAAGTAAGTTAGTGTTCCTCGCTAAATAGAAACCGTGTAATGTCATGTGATTTTGTAGACTATTAAATTCATTGTCACAATATGACAGGGAGACAAAATCTAGGCCAAATAAATAAAGGATCATTCTAGAATATTCATCTTGATATTTCATGCCATTCATTATTTACATGGCATTTAGTGCCAAATGACTCCAGCACATTGTAAACCTGAGAGAACCAGCTCCTGGAAGGGGAGTGGCCCACAAAATGTGCAACTTCTAGGAGATCTAAATGGCGACAGGAGAGAGGAACATGGATTGACGGTTTTCATGTTAAAGGTGAGGTGCAATCCCCTCAACTGCAAACCTCAGTTGCTTTGACAACCACAGTCCTTAGCCATCACATCTGTTCACAGCAACGGCTTCTTTTATGCCTCCTCACTGCTGGCAAGGTATGGACAGACGAAAAGCTGAAGACAAAGCCTGGAATCAGCCAGGCCAGGTCAACAACCCGGAACCACTTTCTCATGGAACAAGTGCCAAAGGTATCTCAGCAAGGTGTCCTGAAACACCCAGGTCGGCTCCAGCTGCGGCCATTAAGCTGTTACTTACACACTACTTCTGGGAATGATTTAAGCATGGATGAAAATGATTAAGCTAAGAATCCCCATGGTAAATTTTGAAACAGCTTTAAATTTTAGCTCCTGTGACAAAGTTTTGGGCTAATTAGAATAGGTTGCTGAAGGCAAGGGAGATACTGGATTCTTACCTAAAATTTTCAAGTTCAACAGCTTCTGTGGACTCATGCCACTGACTTCGGGCTCTGTGTCCACCCACCTTGATGATGTGCTCAGTCTTCGTCATGCTATTTTGGGCACTATCGAAGTTAATGGCTGGAAGCTATAGAAATAGAAGCACAGAACCCATGAGGATAATAATAAAGAAAGTAACAAAATGAGGGTAAGGGGTAGATGGAGGCCAATTAAAGGGAATGAGTTTTTTCCTAAACCAATAATTAACATGATAGCCAAGCCAAATGTCGTTTCCCAAGATTTAAACATCTTTGACTTAAACATTTATTCTCTCTACCTTATGCTGCTTTATTTTTCTTCATAGCTTGTAACACCACCTGCCATATCTTACAGTTATTTATGTATTTTCAGTCTCCCTTGATTATAGTGGCAGCTCAACATGAGAAGCACTTTGAACACAGTCAGGCCTGGGCATTAGGAGTTTTTGAAGCTTCTTGGGTGATTCAAATGTGCCACCAGAATAGAGAGTTTCCAGATCCAGCTAGAACTCTCTGGTAGAGTGTGGAACCCCAAACTGAGAATAAGTCATCATTCATTCTTCAACATTTGCCAATCATACACACTGCTTGTCAGGTGTTAGGAACATAAAGGTAAAGAAGATTCTATCCCTTTTAATCAGTCTGAATATCTTGATTAGTCAATCATATTTATAAAAGTCATGAATTCACCAAAAGAAAAGTAAAAATTTGCTTAAAAAAAAAGAAAAAGAAAAAATTTGCTTAAATGAACTATAACAACTCAAGTATGCCCCCCATTTACAATATGAACTTGTAATTATTTATATAATAAATTGTAAGTTATCAGTATTAAAATAGTTTCACTAACCAATATGTACCTATAATTGGGATAACCCTGAGGATTGTTTTTTGTACCATGGCAAAGCTGAGCATAGTGCAAACAAATACTTTATTCTTTCCAAAGTACAAATGAAGGATATTCTATAGTTAGTGAAATTATTACAGAGGAGGTAAGTAGAGCATAATATAAAAAAATAAAGGATCCACTTTTCCATTCTATACATTATAATTATCAAATAAAGCTACTATATGTTGTACTTATCTTATTCCACCAAAATATTTGACACTAATCCACATAAAGACATCTTTTCCCTATCCAAAAAGAGTATGTCTGACTTCCCATTAGGCAGCCAGCTTATAGAAAGATGCATTATAATAAGGACATTGTTTAATGGCTAGCAAAAAGAAAAAAAAAAATCCTTCTCCATCATATGCCAGCACAGTTGCACTCTCAAAATATTAATAATAAATCTTTCATCCTGTTAAACCACCTTTCTATCTCAGTATAGTGGGCCAATCAATCCACAAACACCACAAGACAATGGGCCACAGGCACTCGAGAGAGTAAGGTTTATTGGCTAAGAGAACAAACTCTAGGCCAGATGCCCTGGGTTTAAAACTACCAGTAGGTAGCTGCATGATCTTGGAAATGTTACTAAACTCCCTGTGTATTAGTTTCCACATCATCAAAATGGAAACAATAATAGTAATTGTGTGCAGAGTTATTATGAAAACTAAATGAGTTAGTATTTATAAAGCACTTGCTATGTGCCTGGCATAGTTTCCGAGTGCTTTATAAATACTCTTTTAATCCTCATGATTATTCCCACTGTACAGATGAACTTGCTAACCAAATAAAGTGTGTCCTTACAAATTAGACGACCCCTGGATGTGATAACCCACATGATTTTGGCCATGAAGTCACAGCAATGAGCAAATGTTCCTGTGTTACACGGGAAAGATCACTATGTAGCAAACAGGAAGTGGATTTTCTGGGTCCAAGGTGTTTCAAACCCCCTGCCATTACCACAGCTCCCAGAATACTGATCACAAGAGGGAAGGTAGCCAGCACAGAGAAAAAGAGCCCAGGCCATTCAGAGAAGAGGGGTGGAAAGCTCCCACGGCTTGCAGCCATTTCCTTCGCCGGCAGAACAGGCAACCAGAATTGGGAATCAACTCATGGAGACTCAGTAGGTAAGATGGACTTGGCAGCTATAGTTGCAAAGACCATGAACTTACTAGAAGGAACCTTGAAGCAATCAGCCCTCTTCAGACAAAAACAATGTGAGTTCAGAGTCCAGTTCAAAACCCAGAGCATTTTCCCTTGCCTCCCCAATTCCTCCGGCTCTCCGTATTCTTCATCATCTACTGCAGAAGGAGGTCCAGGGAAATCTGTGTGATACCGCTCACCACCTGGTATCGTCACAGTCAGGGTGTCCACGTGAGCCACCCCTTACAGATTTCTTCACGTTAAGCCATTAGTTCTTTTAAAGCATACTACATTTGACAGATTATTCAGGGCAACCCAACATCTGAAACTTTGGACATAATAAATATACCACAACACAAATTGACATAGATCATTTTAAAGTGTGTCCTGTCCTTTCCCACAAGTGATGGACTTACAGGCACTTGGATTTGAAAACCTCTTCAAAAGGCACAGGACCCAACCATCATGCATCCTCACGACTGCCATCATCACAGATGATACTCACATGGTGCTCACCACATGCCAGGCAGTGTTCTAGTGCTTTGCAAGTATTAAATATATTTAATCCTCATAACAACCCTATGAGATAAATACCATTTTGTGGATGAGAAAACTAAGGCACAGAGGGGTAAGTGACTTGCCTAAGGGTCACATAGCTAGGAAGGGGCAGAGCTCGTATTCAAATCCAGGCAACCTGCCTCCCTCTCCAACATTCTCAGTCCTCCACCATCTATGTATGTATCTCTAGTGATGAGAAACACTATCCTGAGTCATCCCTCTTGCTTTTCAGAGTTCCACTCTCGCCCAAGATTTTCTTCATACTGAGATTCTGAAAATCTCGCCCTGTGTTCTGTTCCTGTCTTCTGGTCCAGCGTCATCTCTTTGCACAATATTTGAAAGGACTAGTTTCTTTCAACATGTAGAAGGGTTAGTTCTGGGGGAATCCCCGGACTCCATGCTGTGAGAACAAACAACCCTGTGGAGAGGCCTCTCACCCACAAACAGCACTTACTTGCCAGCCCCAGTTGGTGTTGGGAGGATCACAGCACCTCACAGCAACCCCATCAGAGACCTGAACCAGAACCATCCAGGCAAACTGCTCTCAATTCGTGACTCACAAAATGGGTGAGAGACAGTAAATGATCATTGTTGCTTTAAACCACTAAGTTTTAGACTGATTTGCTATGCAGTATTTGATAATAAATCCACCATGAACTAAAATAAGAATCCACAAGTCCATATGATATAAATAAATACATGAATAAGCCAAACAGGGCAGGCAAATAAAAAACTGTGCCCCAACTTCTGGCTGCACTGAACTGGTCACTTGACCCAGAAACCACCATAGCATTTGACCACTCCACACCTGGGTGTGTGTAGACTGTGACTCCTGATCATGTTTCAGGGCTCAGCTCAAACAGCGTCCTGGTGAGCACCTGCCCCAGCCTTCCTGGAAAAGCAGTTCACTCCCTCCCTGGTGGCATTACTACACTGACATCTCTTATAGCACTTACCACACCTGGTACAACATCTAGTTTATACATCAGCCTCTTCCCTTTGAATATGGCCACCCTGAGGGCAGCATCCTATCAGTCTGTCTTTGTGTTCTTAGCACCTCTCATAAAGCCTGGTGCACAGTACGTACTCCAAAGTGAAATTGTTGAATGAATGCTTACTTTTCCCCCGTCTCTTTGCTAAACTGATTCATTGTTAACCACTTCTAGATGCGCCCATCCGTTCCACACTTTTGTTGCAGACACATTATTTGTCAGAATTGTGATGAGGCACTGGGCATATAGGAAGCAGGACAGTCATGGCGTCTGCCTTTAAGGAGTTCAGAGTCCCATGAGGTGGGGAGGGGTAAACCAGCATGAGAACAGGCTGCAAGATGAGTGAACAAGGGTTTGTTATGGTAGAAAGTAAAGGAGAGATAGGGTGGGCCACAGACCAGGATGCCAAGAGTATTTCAGAGTATTCCAGACAGACTTTTATGGGCGGGAAGACAGAGGACAGCTATGTGTGCTCTAGAAAATGAGAGGTACCTGAGCAGCTTGAATAGTGTGAGTGGAAAGTGAAGAGATTACAGATTGAAGCGAAGGACTTTCCTAAAAATGTGATTGTGTCACTTCTGATTGGAAATGTCAACATTCCCTATTGCTTACGGGATCAAATACAAAATGTGTAGATGGGTCTTTAGACACTGCACAAAGTCATCTAGCTCTAGGTATGACTACTTCCAACAGAAACGTCTAGTCATCATTTTACTTAAATGCTCGTGATTTTCCTTTCTTCAGATACCTGATTATTTTATTCACTTCACTGATAATGCCTTTCCCCCAATGCCATGGATGGAAAACCAGACATTTTCCAAGAACCATCTCCTTCCTGTGATTTGAGCTAAAAGTGGACTCCTTACGCCTGTCAAAATCCATATGCCCAGTGTCTGTACCATTCCTTCAGGACTCACGTCTTGCCTTATCATGTGCTATAACTGCCTTTCCTATACCTCCGTCCCTCAGAACACAGCAACTGTGCCTTATGCCTTTTCTTTCCACAGTATTTATCAAAACCTCTGTTATTTCAAGGTAATTAATTGGTTTATAATGAATTCATTTGTTCTTTCTTCTACCTTTTTTTACTTATTGCAAACCAATTTCTCAGCTTCCTGTGGCTTTGAATGTAGGAAAAAAAAAAAATCTGAATTCCAGCTCTTGGCAGATTACTTCAAGATTTGTGGAAACCTCTGGTGAAATCTCCAACCAACTTTGTAATTTCACTTTGCTTCAACAACCCTGGGGGAATTCCTTTCCTTGAATTATTTGTCTTTACTGGGCTATGGTTATTCTAACCCTGCCCCCTCAGTGTTCTGTCCCACTGTTGGATCGTCCCACAGAATAGCAAGCTCTAATGTGGTTAAACAAGGCACACAGAGATAGAGCAGTCAAGACAAAGAACGAAAGTAGAACATTGGAACACAAGGAAACAACAGAGAAGTGGCTTGGCTCATTAGAGATTCAGATAAAGGACATTCAGTTCTTTGCAATTCTCTGCCTAAACCACAAAGTAAATTTCCTCTGCAACCGATTAATTGGCCATTTTGGTCCATTTGCAAATAACAGGCCAGATCTTGTTAGATCAGAAATTCAGGTGAGTGAGCCTTACTCCCAAATTTCCCTTTTCAAATTGACTGCTAAAAGTCTCAGAGCCAAATATGTGACCCACTTGCATATTTTGATGGGCATCTCTGTGTGCCTCACTCTACTTTGTCCCCAACCCTTGTTCTTCTTTCTTCTTTGGCCCTGGTTTTAATTCATGATAAACTGTCATACTTAGTGTATCTTTGTAAAAACCTTCTTACATTCTTACTGGAACAAGCAAGATATAAATAAATGCTTGACTTATTCTTTCCAGTATCTTTCTTCTCCATACTATTTTACTAAAAGGAGATTAGGGTGTTCAGAATAACATTTATTATTTCAAAATTAAAAATGAATTAAGTTTTGATAAACAGAATTAGGAATAAATTTTGTGAACCTCAGGACCTGCATATCATTGAGGACATTTTCATTTCTTAGAACCACCTACTTTCTGAATAATTCAAGCATTACAACTATGCATTTTTATACATGTGAAAGACTTTACAAAAAGCAATGCCATGTAAACTTGTCAGACAACAAACTGCAAATTCTAAAATTGGTTAAAGAAAGAGGAACTATTAAATTCACTTTTATTAACCCCACTAGGTGTTAACAAGAACATGGTGTTGAAAGGAGACACATCAGATCTAGTGAGCTTCAAAGTTGGAAAATTAGAGGCAAAAACCACCAGTGGGATCGAGCCCCACATCAGGCTCCCCGCTCCGCATAGAGTCTGCTTGGGATCTCTCTCTCCCTCTCCCTCTACCCCACCCCTACTCGTGCTTGCACTCTCTCTCTCAAATAAATAAATAAATACATCTTTAAAACAACAACAATAACCACAACAACACCACCATTGGTGTTTCTTTTACTCGGGCCATGAAATTATACATGCTCATGATGTAACCCAATTCTTAAACTGTAATTCAATTTGACAAAAACTGACCCAGAACTCACCAAGTCGAGAATACCAGAGGCAAAGTCAAACAGGCTGGCATTGGGAAATACATAATCTCATCTGGAAATAAGACATGTAGATAAGCGTTTCCAAAACAAGGAAGAACATAGTGTTACAACTGTGAAAGAAAGTGCTTTGGGAAGAGAAAGATTGCTTCCAGAATACAAAATAAAGGAAAGCTTTTTTTGTGGAAGCAGTGTCACTCGATTTGGGTCTTAAAAATAGATGAGATTTTATAGGAAAGAAATTTGGGAGAAGGGCAAATTCAGGAGAAGATGTAATAGTAAAAGCAAAAAGGAGAAGTCTTTGACATCATGGTTACATCTTAGGATGTACAGTGAGAAAGAATGGGAACCACAACCAAAACCGTATGCTGAGCTACCTTGCTTACTTTCTAAGAAAGAATGGATGTGATTTGGGGTAATTGTCCATGAAGGCCTGTGAGCAGCAAGCCACACAGATGCTTTTAGCGGGGTAGAGACAGACAAAGAGCAAGAGTGCCTGCTGACACAGCTGGATGGGAAGAAATTGCTCCTGAGGGCCATAGCATGAATAACAGAGAAGAAGGATTGGTAGGTGAAAAGATATTTTACAACCATGTTTACTCCGAATCAAGGATTATCCAACTATTTTTGTGAACTGGAATTTAATTTCCCAAGTCATTTAAAAGGTATCTCAGTGGCTAGAGGCCTATATTGCAAAGAGGCAGTGTTTGGGTTCAGATCTGTATTCCAACCAACAGTTGGCTGTATGATATTGAGAAAGTCACTTAATTCCATGTGCCTCATTTTCCCAATCTATAAAAGTGAGAGATGTGGTTACTAAACAGGGTGATGCACCAGACATATAGTAAATGTTCTCTAAATATGAACTATGTTTTTGGCCTTTATGTGCCATCAAATCATTAGAATGTTATCCTTGACTATATATAAATAGATAAAAATGTTGTAATTCTCGGTTAGTTTGATGAAAACTAATCCAAAACTAATCCCAAATCCATCAGGATTCCCACCATTTGCGCTCTTAAACAAATTTACTTAAACAAGTACAGCATAGTAGACTTTGGTGCCAGATCACTGAGGTTCACGAAGCATCACTACCATTTACCAGTTAACGGTGCCGAGTGTCTACTGTTAACATTAGCATTAGCATTGCTGTGCTGTTCCCCAAATCTTCACGGATGGCCTCCAATCTCAGGACTCTCCCAAGTCTTACAGAAGTAAAACCAAAAAGAAAGTTTAAAGATAAATTCAAGCAGAGGTACCATTCTTTCTCCATGTAATAAAAATATAAAAATGCTATCATAAAAATAGCCAAATTCACTCCTTTCCCCTCTTTTCGGGTGCAGCAAGCATCAAGAGCAGTACTGTAGGAAATAGGCAGCATGAGGAGGGGTGGAGGGGAAAAGAAAGGAAACTCAGTAATCAGTGTTTGGGAAAAAATCAAATTCCCTAAAGCTCCAAAGAGTCAAACACTGGGCATTCAATAGAACAGTACACTGTTTCTAGACTGAAGGGCTTTGGTAATTAGGACACATGGCAATAAGCAGAAAATAAAGTAGGGCCCAGCCATGAGAGGAGAATGAAAAGGCTGTAGACGCTGAGTCTTGGCAGAACCTGAACCATGTATGAGAGAAACAGCAAGATGAAGAAAGACAAAACATATTTAAGAACTAAGAAAAGCAGATATATTATTGTTCATAAAAATGTTAAATCAATCCCTTTGGAAACATGTGCGTTCTCTTTCATTAATGCGTGCACAATTTTTGAAAACATTACCTGTTGTTTGCTTGACTGGACGTTCAAAAGGCAACGAAGTCTTTTAAGATCTGAATAGTCCCTAGGAGAAAGAAAAACACAATGTCAATCAACTGAAGACTCCAGGCGAACTAGTCATCCCCACTGATGGCATTGCCCCTCCAAAACTACTTTATAGAAGGAAATCTATACACACTAACCATTTCCTTTAGAATTCTAGAAATGATCGAACATTTCAGTAAACACCATAACCCAGAGTAGCCATTGTTAAGGGTCTACTCTATTTCTCAAAAAGCCATTAAATCTGGTTGCTGGCCACTGTCTGAGTTACTAACTAGCAAAAACTCAGGAAGGGGTTACCTGGTGGTGATTCCTTGTTGTTTTTTATCAGTTGATTTTTCTGTGGTCTTCACCTTTTTGTCTTGATCAGGCATTGTAAAACATCAATGCCCCAGAATTAACATCGCATGCCTTTCAAAATAAACCAGAGGGGAAAACTTTAGTTGGGTTGTGTGCACCAAAATATTCTCAGGCAAAAGTCACTTTATAATACTTATTTAAATATGTAAAAGCTAACATTCATTTATAATACAACAATAAAAAATGTTAATATGAGTAGCATTTGGGGGCATCTGGGTGGCTTAGTTGGTTGAACATCTGACTAGGTTTCGGCTCAGGTAATGATCTCGGGGCCTTGGGATCTAGCCCCATGTTGGGCTCTGTGATGAGCGGAGAGTCTGCTTGAGATTCTCTCTCTCCTTTTCCTTCTGCCTCTTCCCCCCCTTTCTAAAATAAATAAGTAAATCTTTTAAAAAATACATGAGTAGCATTTATTATTTATCATTCAAAGGCCTTCAGATACATTTAGGGCACAGTTTATAGGTATAGTAGCCCATGAGCCTCTCTTTTCTGAGTCACCCTTGATTTCAAATATTCTGACCCATTGTCCCAACAAATATACTATTCTGCTTGTCAGGAAAAGTGCCCCCATTAGGGGTTTCCAAAATATATATCTATAAGCAAATACTTGGAGTCCAACTAATGCTTTTATGCCCTCTTAACTTATCTTCTCGACAAGTATCCTCAACTGTATGCTGCTAATTCAAGGCGTTCCTCCCTCATCATGGGTCATCCCCCTAAGAGCCCAGAGAAAGCCCCACCCACCTGCAAATAAGCATTACAGTGTCAAAGGTAAACACAAAATTTCACTGGATTTCTAGAATTCCTAAAGCTTTCAAACTGCCACCTGAATCCCCAAGTGGGTCAACTGCAGTCACAAGTTCTTCAGCAAGAATTGGGTCAGTCTTGCACAGCCCCTAAACTCACTCAACCATCCTGTGGAAAACAAGCCAACAGGTCCAAAATGGAGTCACTTAGGCTAAGCCTCAGGTCACCAAACTTAAATACATTTTCAGCCCTCCGAGATATGAAAACTTAAACTAGCCAATCAGGAATCACCAGATCAGCATTAGTTAAATAATCTGTCTGATAAACCCATGTTACCCTCTAGGGAAAAGTAACCTTGCAATAATCTACTTTTTGGCTAGTATAACTTCCTTGTTCCTGCTCCTTTCTGCCTATAAAGCTCCTCAGAGTTCCTTCCTATCTGCCAGAATGGATGTTGTCCAATTCATGAATCACTGAATAAAGTCAATAAGATCTTTAAAATTTACTCAGTTGAAGTTTGTTTTCAAACAATCTGGACAGTCAGCCTGGCCAGCCTGGGAATATGACCCAATACGCATTTCAATCTTTTGGATAAGCTTTGTAGTTATCATGGTCACCCTTCCTAGGATAAATTTTAATACTATTTCCTACTCCCACTAAAAGATAAGTAAGAGATAAGGCAGATTACTTAACCAATGAACAGAAAACAATTTATTTGTTTGCCCTTTTTTAAATTTCTGATTCAATTGTTTTAATTTCCAGAATAGAAACAAAAAGTTGAAGACACCCTTACTTGCAGTTACATAGCAAATACAAAATTAAATATACTATTGGTTTAATTTGATTGGATGTAAAATTTTCCAACTGTGTTTAATGTCACAGCGTAACTTCAGAGTTATTTTCAGGCATGAAAAAGCATGTGTTATTGTCTTATAATTGCATGCCTCAATGTATTGTGAAATCGAAGGTCAAATCCAAGTGTCTCAGAGATATTTAAAGGCAAAAGGAACGTGCCAATCGGTGTTTCACTGCAACAGAATGGAGGGAAACTTTATTTTGTGAAATGTACAATGACAGTTTATCTAAGGATTTAAAAATGATTTTTCCCATATAGTTGTCATATTTATCACAAAGAGTGGAGCTGGAATTAGGAGTTGGGGACCAAGGCTCTCTTCACAGATGCACACCAAGAAAAGCACAATAATAATATTTTAGGATTGTGCTTAGGACATAACACCACGGATTCATACAATCAAAAAATATTTACTGAACATTTACTATGATCAATCTCAGACTGAAAACTGCTAAAGGTAAAACAGGCTATCACAGGCATATGATTCTCCCACAAGCAAATAAAAACCCCCTTAATGACTTCAAACTATGTTTTGTGATGTATTCAGATAGAAATTGATTTCACTTTCGCTTTTCTATAAAAGAAAGGAGAAGGAAGGGAAGAAGGGAGGCGGAGAGGGGCAGAAAAAAGGAAGAATGGATGACAGGCAATCTGCAAATAATTTTTAAAAGCAAAAGATCCAAGTGCTTTTTATATATGGATATTAAAATGCCCCAAAAGATCTAAAATAAATTGAAATCCAGTCAAAATTAATAGAATCTGATTTTACTTTTCCCTCAAGGACAGAGGGAAAATTCCACATGGACACATTGGCCTGCTGGCTTCCAATTCCTGTGCAAACCATAGCTACAGACTGTGTTAGAAGTAGGAAATGGAAGCCACAAGGATTAGCACATGAAAATGTGTGGAAAAGCTCACAGGCTTCTTCTGCCAGAAGGAGAGCACATCTAGCCAGATCATACCCTACTAAACACCCTGTCTTATTCCCCTATTTAATCTCCATAATTTGATTGACCCGGTGTGTGAACAGGAAATAATCATCTAATAGTTTTATCAGTTTTAGATTAATGTCTACTCTGTGAGCTGGAAGAGTGAGAATAGATAACTCTCTGGAAATGTTTCACTTAATTAAACAGTAAACAAATCCACCGGAATCAGTAGAAACAGACAATTGCCTTCAGATAAAAAACAAAATCCTTTCCACTTGATGGCTGTTAAAATGGAAACTCTTCGGAAGAAAACTTTGAGAAGTTGGGAATGCTCTGAAATATTTCATCTAATCCCATTTTAAATTAACAAAAACAATCATGTTATACCAATGGTTATAATTCAAAACTGGGGGTGGGGGAAGGCAGCTCATATCTTAAGTTGCCCAGAGACAAACAACTTACTGAAGAGGTGTTCTCCAGAGAAGTCAAGCAAGGGTGCTACCTAAAGCAAGAGCTCTCCAGAGGGCAGCCTCAGTGTGATTCCAAGGGGAGCTCCAGAGTATAGATTATGTCTCAGGACTGCCTAAACCTGAGGGAAGGGAGCAGACTTTCATGTTCCTGTAGACTTTAGTCATTGGTTAAGAGTCTTTGAGGGAGGTCATAATCCCCCAGACACTCCTGTCTGGGGGTAAAGGGACTCTAGGAGCTTTGGGGGGAGTCCTCCAAAAAAGAGACACAGGAACTGGCTGTAAGAAGCAAAGGAGTATTGAAGCCAATACCTAGACACCCAAATAGTCCTAAGGGATGGGAGAGGCTCTGGGTAGGACACCAACCCCAGTGGAAGAGCTGTGGATGATGATGGTACAAGAATCTTGCTGGGGATACACACTGAGCACAACCTCAAATTTCCCTCCTTTGCTTGACCTCTCCAGGGCTTTTACTTCTCTGATCCTTCTACCCTCTCCCTCTCTCTCTCACTTCACTTCAGCCCTACTGGCCTTTTCGCAGGCTCATGAACATGGCAACCCTATTCCTGCCTGTAAGCCTTGGAACTTGCCACTTGCTGTTCCTCTCTCATTCCCAGGCTGGCTCCTTCGTGTCACTGAGGTATCTGCTCAGATGTCCCTTCCTTGGTGCGGGCTCCTCTGATGAATCTGCCCAACCTATATACCCCCACAGACTCATCCTTACCACATCACCCTGTTTCATCTCCTTCTGAAGCTCATCAACATCAGAAATCTTCTTGTCCATTTATTGGTTTCCTTGCACTAGATCCTAAGGCCCATGTGAACAGATACCGTATCTGCTTTACACACACATACATCCCCCACACACCGAGTAGCACATGGCACAGTACAGCACAGTATAAAAGCTCAGAAAATATGTGTCATAATCTACAAGGTGGGGCTAAGGTATCTTTACCAATGTTCATTAATTATTTGCTTTTTAACAATTATTTTAGGATTTTAGGATTAGAACCTCCGTTAAACCCCCAAACCTGGTGCTCCTCCTCCTCAGTGCTCCAGGGCAGCTTGTACTCCCCACTTTGCAAACCTGTGCACAAAATATTGCAATTGCATGATTACCCCATAAGACCAAGAATTGGACCTCCTGATTCACTTTTTTTTGGAGGGGGGCTATAGCTTAAAGCTTAGTTGGCTGGTTTGGGGTTTTCTTTTTTCATTTTAATTCAATTAACATATAATGGGTTATTGGTTTCAGAGGTACAGGCCTGTGATTCATCAGTCTTATATACAATACCCAGTGTTCATGACATCACCTGCCCTCCTTAATGTCCATCACCCAGTTACCCCATCTCCCACCCCCCTCCCCTCTAGCAACCCTCAGTTTGTTTCCTCTGATTAAGAGTCTCTTACGGTTTGCCTCCCTCTCTGGTTTCATCTTGTTTCATTTTTTCCTCTCTTCCTCTATGATCCTCTGTCTTGTTTCTTAAATTCCACATATCAGTGAGATCATATGATAACTATCTTTCTCTGATTGACTTACTTCGCTTAGCATAATACCCTCTAGTTCCAAGGAAGGCAAACAATAAACATTTACGTATTAAAAAATTAATGGACCAATGGATAAAAGAACTATTTGAAAAAACAAACCTGTGTCATTACTCTTTTAATTCAAAAATCTTTCATAAAGCTTCCTCATAAATCAAATCAACTGATGAATATTTGTCATGTTAAAATAATCTTGAACGCACTCAGGAATTATCTCAATTATTCAGTCTTTAGGGGGGAAATTAGAGTTCTATATAATATAATATTCATGAACAGTGCTTTTCAAACGACCTATGAAGTTTTTTTTTTCATTTGTAATCTATCATGGGCCAATACTTTTGGTACATATCCTGTTTGGCAAGGTAAGTCAGCACTGATCATGTGCTTGGATATCACAGCAATGTTGAATTGCTGCAAACATTTCTAAACACTCTTAATTTTGTACTTATCTACTCATGGACCAATAACATACCAGTCTGAAGACTACCTGAATAGCCTAGAAAACTGAAG